AGTCCGTCAGGCCCCTCCACTTTTGCAAGCCGGACTCGGGGGCTCTGCTTGGCCGGCGAGCCGCCCCTCCGACCTGGCTCCCTCCCGCCAGTCCGTGGAGCACGCACTGCCTCGCCGCCCTTCCTACCCTCTTCCGTGGGCCTCTCGTCTGCGCTTGGCTCTGGCGACTCCGTTCTGCTAATCCTCTGGCGGTTTTCTGGGTTATTGAGGCAGGTGTAGGTGGAATCTAAGTGATCAGCAGGCCGCGCGGTGAGCCCAGCATCCTCCTACGCCGCCATCTTCACTTTCATAGCATTTTATTAGATCTACTGTAGCACTTAGCCAAGCCTGATATATATTAAATTAATTTACATATATTTCCCTAATGATTAGTCTGATTTCATTGTATGTTACACTATTTCTATCATAGGGTTTGGTCAAAAGTGAACCCCCAATTAATATGGCTTAAACTAAATACCAAATTGAATATTATAAAGGCACTTCTGTCTGACCTAACCTGGGAAGAATATGATGAAATTCTTAGCTTTAGATTCATTTCTGACTAGCTACATTAACTGGGGATTGGTAAAAGTCAAAGCTATACCAGTATCTCACCGACTAATGAATGGCTGGATGCTCTGGCCCTTCAGGGGTTCCATGCTCATTGGCATGGGCTCTGGGGTGGACAGCCAGTAAGAATAGTCATTTCTTGAAGCAAAGTTGCAAACATTATTGATGTTGCAGAACATGAAAGGCATGGTACTGAAGCGACGAAGGCAGCTGCCAGCCGTCCCTAGGAAGAATTGGGGAGAAAAGGATGAAGGACTATACTATGATGATACTTTAGTTTCTTTTGAAACCCAAACAAGAAACCTTTCAAAGAGAAACTTGCCCACACTTCTTAGATAATAAATATACTTTAGTTCTTCAATTATAAGATGCACACTTACTTACATTTGTAACATTTCTAAAATCAGGAGACATCTTATAATTTATATAGGTATTTGTTGTTGCGATTCATTATATATTCCCCAGTGCCATTTTTATGCTGGTGATACATTTATAACAATGGTGTCTCATGGAGAATATTGAGTAATCTATTGCAAACAAGTGAAGAGCACACTGATTTCCTATAATATCTTATTAGTACTTCCCTCCAGGACACCCTCTCTCCCTCCAAGACATCCCCAGTATGTTATCTTGTTTGTTTTTGCAATCTCTTTCAGCCTAGGGACAACTGTAGTGCTGGCCTATATGAACCATGAACAGGTTTGGAGGTGAATAATAAAAAGGAAAAAAAAAATAAAAGAGAAAGGAAGGATGTGAGACGAAAAAAATTTCAGAACTGGTAAGGGCAATAGAGGTTACTTCTACCAGTGATTAGACCATTTTTCTTTTATTCACCAAAGAATGATGAAAAACTATGTATCCCCTCACACATTTTTAAGTTTAAATATAAATTTTTTCATCGGAATTTTAAATTGATACTATGCCAGTTATTAAGATATTGGTTATTGTCTCTTGGCTCCAAAACCACTTTTCTATACTCTACTTTATGATCTGGAGTCTGGGACTTTGCAAACCATATTTCAAATGTTACCAGCTGTCATGTATAGTGTTTTGTGAATATTTATATTTAAAAACAAACTTTTTATCATGCTTTTAACTGTATCCAATATAATGTTTTAAAACCTAACAATAAGCATTTTTTAAAGTATATAAACTTTTTTCCCAATTAAATATGCTTTACTATTTATTTAAATCCAAGTTAATTAACATACAATGTAGTGTTGGCTTCAGGAGTAGAACCCAGTGATTCATCTCTTCCATATGATACTCTATTTTTGCATATAAAATAGAAGAAAATGATACTTGTCCTATATCTTTCTTGATCATAATTGTGAAAATCAAATTGAAGAATGGAAATCCAAGTGCTTTTTATTTATAAAGTATTTAAAAAATAAAACTCATATTACTGCCTAATTGAAGACAGAACTGGAAATATCCCTGGTCTTAGAAAGAAATGAAATGGAAGAGGTACATAAAAGGAAGGCCCACAATGATGAGACAGGGATATTCGGTTGCATTTGTGCTTTAGGCTGCCCAAAATGATGCAGAATTCTGTGTAGTCTCCAAATTTTCAAAGAAAATTTTGAAGAAAAATCTCATGAATTCTCAATGCCTCCATATTCTTACAATTATAAGGCTTTAATAGACTAATGGTTCTTAGTATTTTTTTGCTTCATACAGAACAGTTTTAGTATTCAATCTGTTACCTCCACCATCTATTTTTACACACCATAATCCCTTCACTAATCCAACATAGACTGTATTTATGTGGTCAGGTGACTGTTTCTTTAAATCAAACCTACATCTGCCTCCATTCTTTGGATCAAGCTTTCTCCAGTTTGATCCTTGTGTGAGCCATGGAAGAGACTCTGCAATATGGGATCACCCTTAGCATCTTGGGCCTTATATCATGGCCTTCCCACATCTGAGGCTTAAACTGCACCTGAGCCAGGGCCAGTCTGTAGCCTCCAAGTCTGAATGCACATTATGACAGCCCTTGCTTGACCAAATACATGCATTTTGAAAAGTTACAGTGACATGCTGGATAGCAGATTCCATTTTCAGTTTGAATTATATTTTTGAATTTCATGGTTCTCAAAGCCTTCTAATGTATCCTCGACTTAACAGGAGAGCAATCTGAAGTTTACAGGCTTAATTATGGATATAAGTTAAGATGCTGATAGTGAAGAAATGATGGACTAAAAGGAGAAGAATTTTATGGGAGGAAGACTAGAGAAATTTATGTAAAAGGCAGGAAGCCTAGAGAAATTTATGTAAAAGGTAAGGATATTTTCACAATGAAGATTTTTCAATTATGAAATTAGAAAAAGAAGATGTTACATAAAAAAGTATAAAAAGAAAAGGCAAATAAAAGAGAAAAGATGAAAAGGAGACCAAGAAAAGTAGAAGTAGGAGAATAAAGTTGGTGGGCAAACTCCTACTTTATTTGGCTTCATAAAATGACCTTCATAAAATGACCTTGGTTTCCATGTAAGTGGATATGCTTGCTCTGGTGGGCCAGCACTGCCTGGCAGGTGTGGCCACGTGTCCTAGGAACACAGTGAGTAGAGGTCTCTCTTGCTGCAGAACTGTTTTCACAGAATAGTCTAGCTAGAGACCTCAGGAGGCTTCCTAACATGAGACCCCAGAAACTTGGAGCTCAGACTATCTTCTTAGATGTCCTTTGGAGGCAAAGGGGATAATGATCTCTAAAATTGGCAGCTGCAGGTCAAACAATGGGGCCTCAAAATGCAAAGTCAAAATTCCACAAAATTAAGGATTTAAAGAGGTCTTGAGAGTCATCCATCCAGTCCAGCCTCATTCCATCAACCAAACTGCCTATTACAGTATAGAGAAGATGCACAGGAACCCACTAAATGAAGTGGATTTTATATACAAATATGGTGTTTTGTGTAGTTTTAATCAACTCTGGTAATACTTTACAAAGCTAAAGCACTTATTTTAGGAACTATAAACTAGCATCATTAAGAAATGACCTTATTTTCTTTGATTTTAAAACCAAGATTCTCTTCAGAATTTATCTTTCAACTTGATGAAGACCAGTGTCAGAGAAAAAGAAACTATCTCCTCTGAGTTGTGAACACTGCCCTCTCAAGTAGCTGCTAGACTGTATAGAGCCCAGAGAATCTATGTCCTTAATAACTAAGCTAAAAGTACATGTGGCCCTTCCCCAAATATGCTGCTTTAGGCCAAGAATTGTACCTTACACTAGCTAACTAATGCTTTTAAAGTAAAATATTACTTATTTAAAACTTACAGTGAATATATTCAGCTGCCCTTGACATGGTCTTCAATTCGGAAGCCCCAAGAGAATAGAGAGATACATTTTGTCCAAAGCTACTCTAGAACCCAACAGGATTTTCAAAACAAAACACAACGCACAGTAAAAAATTAAAATGCCAATGATCTCACCCAAGTCTTGACCATGAGCTCTTTTATTTCCTTGAACATACAAGAGAGAAAAGCCTTCATAAATCTGGACAGTTCCATGTGGGCATTGTGGTGCGTCTGTTGTCTGGCTGTGACGTGTGATGAGGAATCCATGGGCAATAGAGGAGGTTCCTGGGGGGCCTGGGGGACCCTGCAATCCATCTGGTCCAGGGGGACCATCCAAACCACGGGTACCTATTTCCATGGAATCATCAATATACAAAATTTAAGTAAGCTCTGATCCACTATTATGGCTATTGACAAAACATTATTACCTCATTTGATTCATTAATTTAGTCAATATTTATAGAGTGTCTATAAAGGCATTGTTAGATATCATGTATTTGGAGATAAATAAAATATGGTCCCTGCTCTTAAAGAGATTTAAACATATATTTTTTTTTTTCCTAATGGAATTGGTTGACAACATTAGGCATTAAGTAAGTACTGGGCGACAGAACATCAGATGGGAAGAAGTGATGCTTATTCAGGAAGCCTGTGTGTTATCTGGTCTCTTGCTCTACTACAGGAGTCCAAACTCCAGGACGAAATTTCAGTTTGCTGTTTTGTTCATCAACGAGAAAGGAAGGGTGTGGTTGCCATCAGTCTGCCAGTTTCAGTGCTGAAAAACATTTTCCTTTGAATCTGGGGAATTATTCTCCGGCATACCTTTTTGTTTAGAGAATAGGCAGGGCACTCTAAAGCAGTCTTTTCAAAATGTCTATTTTCAATTTGCCACTGATTCCCTTTCTCTAGTTAGCCTCTTGATTTGAGCTTATTTTAAATTTCTCTTTACACACAGGCATTTTGCCACTGTGTATACACATTTTCACTTTGGGGAACCTTCACAGCAATGCCCACATGTGATGATACTAACTTGTTTCTTTCCTGTATGCAGTTAATGAAATGGCAGGGTATTGGTTCCAGGAAGACCATAGGTATTACCACTCTGTCTTGCTGCCACTCATATTTTTTGCCAATAAATATTCTTTATGTTTATATTATTCAGAGTTATATTTATATTGTCTAGAGTTGCTAACACATATTAAAAATCTATTTAGTTTATTATCATTTATTTCTGTTTTAGCAATGTTACGAGTGTGTTTTTTTAATTTTAATTTTTTTATTGAAGTATAGTTAACAAACAGTATTATATTAGTTTCAGGTGTACAATACAGTAATCCAACAATTTAATACATTAATCATTGTTCATCATGATAAGTGAGTACTTTCAATCCCCTCTATCTATTTCACCCACCCCCAATCCACCCCCCCTTTGGCAATCACCAGTTTGTTCTCTGTATTCAAGAGTCTAGTTTTTTGTTTGTCTCTTTTTTTTCCTTTGTTCATTTGTTTATTGAATTCCACATATGAGTGAACTCATATGGTATTTCTCTTTCTCTGAGTTATTTCATTTAGTATTATACACTCTAGGTCCATCCATGTTGTTGTAAATGACAAGATCTCATTCTTTCTTATGGCTGAGTAATATTCCTTTGTGTGTGTGTGTGTGTGTGTGTGTGTGTGTGTGTGTCTGTGTCTGTGTATCACAGATATATATATCTGTTCATCTATCAGTGGAAAGCTGGGCTGCTTCCATATCTTGGCTATTGTAAATAATGCTACAATAAACAGAGGGGTGGGTGTATCTTTTTGAATTAGTGTTTTTGGGTTTTTTTGGGGTAAATACCCAGTAGTAGAATTACTGGATCATTGTGGTAATTCTATTTTTAATTTTTTGAGGAACCTCTATACTGTTTTCCACAATGGCTGCACCAATTTACATTCCCACAAACAGTACATGAGGGTTCCTTTTTCTCCATGTCCTTGTCAACACCTGTTATTTCCTGTCTTTTGATGGGATGAGTATAAGATGATATATCATTGTCATTTTGATTTGCATTTCCCTGATGATTAGTGATATTGAGCATCTTTTCACATGTCTGTTGACCATCTATATGTCTAGTTTGGAAAAGTGTCTATTCAGTTCCTCTGCCTGGATTTTTTATTGCAAGGTGACTCAAATTATTCTAGGAAGTAGCTGGAGAACATATTGGAAATCTAGTGGATACCAGAGTCAACATTATCAGGAGCGCCTATTCATCAATGAACGAAAAAATCTGAGTATTAATTTGTCATCTCAGTATACCACTATGACTCTCAAAGCTCTATGGGGATCAGTTTAAACTTTACAAACTCTACAACTACATTTACTGAATTTTATGGGGGAAATTAAATTGTATTGTCATATTTTCAAACATGGAAGGATTCACAATAGTTTCAGGATGGTCATGGGATTTAGGTCAATACACCGAAAAAGATCAGAACAGGTTAAGTACAGGGAGTGCCTGGAAAAACTTTTGAGGAAGAGCTGGGTTTTCCAGTGCTCTAAACACACACACACACACACACACACACACACACACACACAAGCTTTCTATGCTTTTCTTATACTGGAAAATCTCCTTGTATGTGCTATCCTCTTTTCCCCCAGCAACAGAGTCAGCAGGTAGGTACACTCTCTCAAGAGAAAACTCTCACAGCTCCAGTTGGACACCATACATGTACAAGTGTCTCAGACTTGAGAATGCTATTGGCAGCATTATTCTACTTGTCTCACCTGGCTGGCCTGGCAGACCTGGGTCTCCTTTGCGCCCTCCTGCACCATCAAAGCCTGGGAGTCCGTTGCGTCCAGGATTTCCTGGAGGGCCAATTGGGCCTATAGGGGAAGAAAACAGGTCTTCAAATATGGGTGTAATTCCATATCCAGACAGATACAGGAAACTTAAGGTCCTTCAGTGTCACTAAATTCATAATCTGGTCTTGTCTTCAATCCAGACACATGAAGGAATAGCTCAAGCCTGGGACAAACGAAGCAGACAAGGATTTAGCTTTAGTTTTAAATGATCAATTTTTCTCTGCAGAGATTCCCATAGTATGGCAGTTGTGTCTTTGCCTCAGAACAAAATAGGAGTACAAGGCCTGACTTTGTTATCTGTCCCACCACAGGTGGGAGTTTTTACTGCCTGGTTCATTTAGATTATGGAAAGATTGACAACCAATCACTTAATAAGTGAGAAAGACTGAAGTTAGTTTCTAGCTTTGTTTTATAATCAGAGTTGGCTGCAAGCATAGAGTCAATTGGCCAACTAGACAGGATTTAGTTTAAAAATCATGAAGTCTCACAGTGGGGAAGTGACAGTCCACCAAATTAGCTTTGTATCCTTCTGGTGGTTGGAACAGAGAAAGCACCAGATCTTGAATGCATTTTCATTTCTTCACAAAATTTGTAACAACATTAACCCAATCGTTCAAATTAGAATAGACAGAAGAACTGGCTAGGAGCAGTCAGACTTGGGGTAAAGGATAAGATTAGGGCATGAGAAATGAGCATTTTCAAGAAAACAGGAGATGGGACCTCTGGCAGTCTGCTATTCTACGAGCTGTTGAGACTCCTCAGAAATGAATTCTGGCAAGTAACAGGAGAACTAGGGAAATATTCTCAAATAGATAAAGCTTAGAAAGATGATCTGCAAAGGTACCTGGTAAGCCTTGAGGTCCTGGTAGTCCTGGTAGACCTTTTAATCCAGGCTGGCCTGGGATCCCTGGTGGACCAACATCTCCTTTGATTATAATACTCTGTCCTGAAGGACCAGGTAATCCAGGGGGACCTAAGAGGTAAAATATTCAAGTTTGAAGGTAGGAAAAAGAAAGGCCAGAAGGAATGGATGCCAAAGTGTCCTAAGGTCAGAATAAAAATTGGTGTGAAAAACACAAGTTATAGGTGTTGAAATACTGCCATGTCCAACAGAAATGTGTCTGGGAAAACTATCATCTCACCCAGAAGACTGAAAAAATAAATAATTTCCTTAGGGTCAATGGAAAAATTAGGCCTACTGTCCCTATTTTCAAGCTTTGAAGCATGACTTGGTTACTAGAAAGTCTAATCCATTACAAATCTGTGTCAGGGGAAGACAATTCTATTTCCGGACAAGTCCATTCTGATTCTAACATCATTTGCGCTTCTTGTTTATTGTGCTTGTGAAGTGTCCCACTGAACTAGTGATGGAATTTAGCACTTGTCCTATTTCAATTTACAGGAAACCTCTATAAGTCTCCAGAAAAAAGAACTATTTTCATATTGAAAATACTTCCAACTAAAAATGACTTGTTCTTGTGATCTGTTCAACTGAATACGGGAAGGTTAGTATAAAAGCCAATAAAAATCTTAGTGAAGCATTATTGTTAGCCCTGTATCCATCTTAAACTTAAAAGATCTGGTATCAATCTTACATTAGTAAATAGAGAGGTTGAGAGATGAGTAAATAAAGGGAACAATCCCTCAGTTGTTGGGGATTGAGACTCTAAAATTTTAGTTGAAAGACAGAATGCAAACATTCAAATTCCTCAATGTGTTTAAAAATCAGGTATAACTAGCTCCTGGAGTAAGTCTTACCTGGGGGGCCAACAAGTCCTGGATCCCCTTCAGGGCCAGTTGAACCAGGTATTCCACTGGGTCCCTTCATGCCTGCAAAGAAGGTACATACAATGGCACAGAAAAGCGACAGGGGCCTAGCATTTACCCAGTCAAATCAGAAAATGGCTATCTTATCCCAAAGGAGTTTAAAATAAAAAGGGAACTTCAAAATATCCCTTCAAATACCTGGAAATCCTGGAACACCCGGGAGACCAGGATCTCCTTTCATTCCATTGAGACCTGGCCGACCAGGATTACCCTGAATAAACAAAATTGTTGATTTTAGAAAAGAAAATTGGAGGGGGAGAGAGTGAGGCTATATAGTGTTCATATTCATTTATAGCACTGGCTCTAGAGTCAAACTTCCAAGATCCAAATCCCAATTTTGCCTCTTACTAGTCCGTGTGACCTTGAGTTGATTATTTAACCCCTTTGATTCACAGTTTTCTCACCTCTAACATAGAGAAAATAATAGTATCAACTTCATGGAGGTTTTGTGAGGATTAAATGAGATAGCTCATATTAAGTACTTAGAAAACTGATTGGCATGTAGTGTGTACTTAAGAAATGGCAGCTATTATTTTATTATCATTAACAAAGAGGTTTGTTTTTTTTTTTTAGTATAGCACTGAGGTGATAAGTGCTTCAGTTAGAATCACAAGTGCAAGTGCAGAAATGATAGTCTGCAAGACTTAGCAAAAAATATAGCAGGGCCTGTTACTTAATTGGGTTTGAGGGCCAGGAAAACTATGGGAAGAAGAAGAGTTGAGAGGAAGTCTAGAATGCACCTAAAGGAAGAGTAAGTGTGTTAAAATGAAACTCTTATTATTAGGAATAAAAGAGGGGCAAACATGGTACATATTAGTCCAACATGTAAGAAACAGCTTAAAAAAACCAGAGCATGTTAGAAAGACATAGGATCCAGCTTGAAGAAGTTTCCAAATCCAGGATAATTTGAGCATGAAAATAGGTAATTACAGTTTAAAAAACTTAAAAATCATTAAAGAGACTTTATGAGTCCATACTAATAATAAATAAACAATACATGGAAGAGAAGGGAGGCTCTTGCTTACCAAAGGGCTGACTGGTATATGTAGAGGTAGTGCTAGAGTTAAAAAATTATCAATTTGCCACTATTCTAGTATTGGTTGGTTGAGACAAAAATCATAAATAGATTTAACTATATGGGTAAATTCTGATGATAAGCAATATATTTGCATGGTCTTAATGTGCATTCCTATAGTTTTGCTTATTAGTCACAAGGAGAAGAATAGTAACCATACAGTGGAGAAACCAGATAACAATTTGTTGGAATGATCAAAATTAAAATCACCATTGAAGGGCAGATGGCTATTATGGGCCTAAATATCTGATGGAGGACACAACATCACTCATGTAGTATTCCAGCTTGGGATGCATAACTAGAGTGAAGAAACAGCAGACAAAAGAAGGAACATTCTATTTTTAAAAATAGAATATATTAAAATCAGCATGCACTCAGGTATTTAGTACTAAAAAAGCATGACAGTTGCAACTTATTCTCAAATGTTTATACATATACACACACACATCATACAGGGTAAAACAGTAACAACCAGTCCATCTGAATAAATGATACATGAAGGTTTTTTTTTTTACCATTCTTGGAGTTTTTCTGTAAGTTTTACGTTATTTCCAATAAAAGAATTAAAAAACATGCAAATATAAGAACTAATTTACACAAAAGAAAATGAACAGAACTTGATAATACTAGATTCATGAAATCTTGGTATCAGGCAGTAGTAGTCTTGAATCAAGTATAGAGACATGTGAACTGGAAGAACACGGGAAATGAGTGAAGAGGGAGTAAGTAGAGAATGAATAAAGAGAAAACTAAAATTTAATTCTAGCATGTGTCTAGAAGAAAAGTGGTGACATGAGGAAAAGAGGTTAGTTGCTGGAAAGCTTTAAGGACTACTTTTTTAGATCCTTTTTCTTTTTTCTGCTATAAAGCAGCCACCAGTGAGTTAAAAGACTGAGCCCAGACTGTGTTGGTCGCCAAATCTAACAATCCTCCTGAATGAATGCAAGAAACGTTAATGATTCAAAAAGAAGCATGTGACTTTCTGGGTCACTCAAACCAATGTGCAAAAGTACATGAGTACAGATGTAGGGATATGTTATTATTCCTTTTTTAAGGTGAAGACAGAAGCCTAAACTGTCTATCTGCCTTACTCATAGACACAAAGCAGAAGTGTGAAGTGGAGCTGAAATTTGAACCTAATTCTAATTTCAAAGTCTAAAATATCCCCACTCAACTCTAATTACTTCCCTGTGAAAGGTCTCATCCACATTCAATGCTCTGATATGTGTGTCTTCTTTTACGAATTTGCTTTCACTGAAAAGAAGGTTTCTCAAACCTAAACAATATACATAGCAATGACTCCAGGTAAAATATCTTCTGAGGAACTCCTTAACTATACAGTAACAAAGTTCCTTTAGTTGGAAAAAATAGGAAACTTGCCTTTTTTTTCTTTGTAATTCACCAGGGAGCCATATATACAGCCTTGACCAGTAAATACTAATAAAAATAATGCAGCTTAGAATTCTCATTTTGAATGCACACACCCACACCCCTTTCTCATCAAATATCTACCCCCATTTCCTACCTGGAGTCCTGGTGGTCCTTGATCTCCTTTCAAACCAGGCAAACCAGGTTGCCCAGGTTGGCCTGGGTTTCCTCTCTCTCCTTTAATACCTCCATTTCCAGGGAGACCCCGGGGACCTTCTGGACCTGGTAGACCTTGATAATGCACAACAAATGGCCAAATTTCAGTATAGCATAAGAGTAGTATAAAAGTCTGGCTTTTAAATTATCGGTCACCTAAATCCTATTAGTTTGCAGAATAAAATCCAGACTACATTAAAATATATAGGCCTATGATAACGCTTTCTAATATAAATTAGGCTGGGTTCTTTTTGTTATTAACACTGATTTGCAGACCATTTTAGTTTGCATTTTATTATATGTTAAATCTAATAAGATCACAGTTAAAGAAAGGACCCAGGACATTATAATAAAGATTGCTTCTGTAACCCCAAGTGTTTAACTTAAGTGAAAGTAAACAAACACTATAGGGCACTGTTCTCAAATTGGAGCATATATCAGAATCCCCAGGAGACTCTGTTAAAACATATTCTTGAGCTTACCCCCAAAGTTTTGGATTCAGGAAGGCTGGGGAGGGGTCCAGGAATCTGCATTCTTACAAGTGCCTTGTAACTAAAGCTGCTGGTTTCAGACCACACTTTAAGAATTGGTACTTAGGACAATCAGGGATTCAAGCAATTTGTCTCATTGCGATTAATATCAAATTGCTATATAAGTAGTTATTTTGTAAGTAGTATTTGTAAGTGGTTTCATTCGGCTTTTATTACTATGCAATTAAGATAGTTACTTGAGCAAACTGTTTGATTTCATTTTAGTGCCATGCTTATTAATATACGGTAATATTTTAGTGTCAGAAATTCATTTAAATTATTTGTGAAGAAAAATTTTGCATATGTCTTGTGAATAAACAAAATTATTTAAAATAGGGTTTTTGCTAAGCTCTTTTCCTTATACAATATTTTTAACTTTTCATTCTAAATAAAGATATTAGGTCCATGAAGCAACCAAGGGGATCTTGTGAATGGCCACATCTTTTGTCACTAGGTGGGAAATAGCTGTTACTTGCTACACAGTGATTGAAGCTAGGACTATCTAGTTCTGCCTTAAGAAATTAGTTATGAAGCACTAAGTAATGAACAGGCAAAAGCACTTACACATTTTCTCCTCTGGTTATCTTAGTGTTTCATTGGTTTCAATAAAAAATGAAAATATATAGTGATTACTTTGGAAGGAAATATTATAGGCAAATGAATTTAGAATACCTGAATTCATGCTTACCTACGGACAAAGGGTCATCTTTTTGATCTGAGATAAAATTCAGACTTTAGTTCTCTTCCAATACTCCTAAGACCCAGAATCAATGACTACATTCTAACAAGGCAGCATGGCATACAGATTAAGAACGCTGGGCTCTGGAGCTAGAATGCTAGGTTGGAATCCCAGCTCCAATAATCATTAGCTGCTAGACTTTAGCAAGTTTATTAATCTCTTTGGCCTCAATTTCCTCCTTTTTAAAATGGAAATAAGAATAGTACCTACTTTATCAGGTTGTACCAAGGATTAAATAAGATAATATGTATACATTATTTAACAGAGTGCCTGGCACATAGTAAGAATTATGAAAGAGACTTTTAAAAATTATTATCACTATTATTACCTTCATTCTTAGTAAAACTTAAAGAACCTATCTTTGAAATATAAGCCCATTTTATTTATTTATTTTTTTTAAATTTTTTTCAACGTTTATTTATTTTTGGGACAGAGAGAGACAGAGCATGAACGGGGGAGGGGCAGAGAGAGAGGGAGACACAGAATCGGAAACAGGCTCCAGGCTCTGAGCCATCAGCCCAGAGCCTGACGCGGGGCTCGAACTCACGGACCGCGAGATCGTGACCTGGCTGAAGTCGGACGCTTAACCGACTGCGCCACCCAGGCGCCCCTATAAGCCCATTTTAAATATTTCAGCTATTTCTATGTTATTTCATATGATAACACTACTCTATCTGGCACATGAGAAAGAGGAAGCAGGTCCACAAGAGCACAATTGTTTTATCTTTAAGCAGTTTAAATTATATAGTCAGCCAAATCCAGCAACCAGAGAGACACACTTAGAAATTAAATTCCCTTCCTGATCATAAAGAAAGGGCTGGAATACTTTACACTAAAATAAACAAAGAAAAGCAGTTGTTGAGTTCAAACCCCTTAGATAGGGTTTCCTAAGCAAAATTATTTGCTTTCATCCATAATGTATAATTTGGACTAGAAATCAGGTAGCAAATCATCTTATTAGGAAAAAAATAAACTGTTAATCAGCCCAACAATGACAAAGTAAGAGTAAGATCAGGAAAAAAGGGAATCTTTTATGATTCTTTTCCCCAGGCTGAAAAGTTATCAGAATATTTGAAAAAAAAAAAAGTAGGCATGTTATGGGCATTGTTCTTTCTGCAATTAAAATAAGATATTGTGAAATTTACATGTTATTAATTCATACCTGCCATTCTGGAGTCCCTCAAATTTAAATTAATGATTTGCTAATGATATAAGGGACATATAGATTTTATTTTTAAAGTCCTCAACAGCTACGCTCTTCCATTTTTGAAAATAGCCACATAAACACAAATCAGAGCAATGTCAAGCAACAAACTTCAAGAAAATAATATCAATATGCAGAAATTACAAACGGGCCAGATACCTGACTGAAAATCTTAACGCAGTCTTAAAGATAACAATAAGTGTATATCCATTTAAAATTCAACATGTCTTCACGTAAGAATTACCTATTATAAACAATTGAAGCCACAAAGACCTAATGTCATTTCAAACTTGATTATAAACAACTAACATTACCTTCACCAATATGTTAAATACCAGAGCAGGTAGTATTTGAGAACAGCCCCCTTCAATGACTTCTGAGTTATAGCAAAAACAAAACAAAACAAAACAAAACAAAAACAAAAAACTGCATTTCTCTTATCACACATGCAAAACATTCAAAAAAAAAAAAAATAAAGGATTGACCAGTGAAGAGTCTAACCTTGAAAACCTGGGAAGATCAGAGTTCACCAAAGCTCAAAGATCGATGTTAGCAGTATCAGACATCACACAGTACAAAATAAGATTATGAGTTAGAAGTGGTTCACATTATAGCACAAGTTAAACAATAATCCTCTTTGCCAGCATATCTCACACCTACAGCGTAATCAGTAGGCAAACAGAACCATACAGAAGTATAGAGAGACAAACATTTTCAAATAGAGCTTATTATAGGAAATAAGCTGCTAGTTTTCATTAACTCAAAAAATGGAAAACTCTACTACAGATATCATGTTAACACTACTACCATGGCTTTCCAAAAGTTAGCATCTCAAACATTAAAGTTGGAAAGACAGTACCATTTTGCTGATAGCCTTCCATTCCCTTCACGAAGGGTTAATTTTATATAAATGTTTAAGTTTATCTTGGCCTCTGGCTTCTCTTAGGAAAAACTCACGATGCAAACTTCTTGATATGTTCAGATTGCCTCAAAGAGGTACAGTTAACTTTAAAAGGCTCATTAGACAAAAATACAAAGATCATAGGTGACTAAATAGAGAAATTAAAATACAGGTACACAATAGCCATTACCAACTGTACTTCTATTTGCCTTCTTTGAAAATCATTCCATGTAGCCACCTTCTGATTTTTTTCATAATTCATCAGGAAGCTTTCTTTTCTGCATTATTACTTGTAACAAGTTTTTCAGGGAAAAACCAATATATATATTTGTTCATCACTGAACTTCAAAATATAAAGAGCCAAATTTTCCAAAAATGTGAAGGCCATCAGTGAAAAGGTACTTTAAAATATTTTGACATGCAATATCCTACCCCAAACCACAGAAAATATCAAATTCACTTTATTATTATTCAATGCACATATTAAATCAGTCTATTAACTATTAAAAGAAGGATCATTAAATAAAAAGATAAAAAGCCTACAAATAAGACCACTCTTGGTTAATGTTAATTAACTGTAAACACAATTTCCTTTCCTTACAAGTCTTGCTATGATTTATAAACACTGAGGTTAGCAGAGAGGATAAATTGTGCTAGAGAATTGAATCCTAGGAATTAGAAAACCTAGGATCTATTCTTGGTTCTACTATTTATATCGGTGGGATTGTGGACAATTCAGTCTCTCTGAGCTTGTTTTCTCACCCACATAATGCGAACAGTGTTATCTGCCCGAACCTCCCTCACAGAGTTGTTTTAAAGATCAAATTGAATTTTGAAAATATGGACCTGATATCTCCATGTACAAGGTGCTACAGGGAACACAAAGGTTAGCTAGACCCAAACTCTGTCTTTAATGAGCTTATAATAAAAGTACATTATATGATGTAAATGGTGGCATGTCACATAAATATAAAACATTATTATTACTGCCAGGTAATAAAACTTTTAAAGCGTTTGGCAATTTGGAATTCATAAGGCAAACTGATTTATGACAACAGTTTGAGAAGAGTCTGGCCACACAATTAGTTAAATAGAATTCCTACCTAAGATAATTCAGAGTTTGAGTAAAGACATTTTATCTATGTGCATGCTGCATGCTATAGTAGGACCAATACAAGAATGCTTAGAAAAATGTCACTGAAATATATATTTTGGTCTGAGTAGGTAACAAGGAAAACTTCAGATTGTATCATAGCAAAACTTCTAAGATCTTAATTTCTAAGAGGTAAAATTTTAATGAGTTATATGCCAAGTCAATTTTGCACATGGAGTTCTCAAAGCATTATTTCTCAAATGACCTAACAAAGTAACTGAAAAAATAAAATAGAAAATTTAAAGTCTTGGACATAAGTGGTAATAACTAAAGATAAGCTGATGAATTGATTAGTAAATTTTAAATCCAGTTTCCATTTAAGGTTGTAGTCTTCCACTATTGCAAAGAAGAGAACACTGTAGACACTAGGTTCCAATAACTATGTAATTTACAGTACATCTGGTAAATAAGATGTCAAATTGCTTTTAAAGTAATGTGGCTACTTCCCTTTTTCTTCTTTGAATATATTCTGGTGCCTCAGAAGAAAGCAATCTTCTTCTAGCCAACACTAAAATCTGGAAGTGATCAAGGCAGCAGACGTCTATGCAAGTCAGACAGGGGGGTATTCAAAATTACTTCCAAGTATGCTTTAATTTTTCTCTTTATCATGGTGATAGTTAAATCGTATGCACTTGTCTTAATCTTTTTGATGACATCCATTTTGGAAAAACACACGAAGCAGTTAATAGGGATTGATGGAATTTATGAAGTAACAAAAACAAGAGAGTGGAGGCAAGCTCCAGTTTCCTATAACTAAGAGTCTCCTATGATGGCAGAAGCAACTTTGCTTCATCGCTTATATTTTTTGAAGTTTATTTATTTATTTTGAGAGAGAGAGAGAGAAGCAGAGAGAGAGAGAGAATCCCAAGCAGGTTCTGCACCATCAGCATAGAGTCTGATGTGGGGCTCAACCCCATGAACCATGAGATCATGACCTGAGTCGAAATCAAGAGTCAGACACTAAACCGACTGAGCCACCCTGGCATCCATTTTGCTTCATCACTTATTATAACTAGAATAAAAAGTCAGATCATAAGCATTGAGCCATATAACTGCCTTTGTAGAAGGATAATGTGTGTTACTAGTAAAGCAGACACTTAACAGAAGAGCACTGGGAAGCTCTAAGTCAGATTCCCAGCTATGCCAGCGATTAACCATATGACCTTGAGCAAGCTTCTTGACATCTTTGGGCCTCTGTTTTCTCAAATGTGACAAAGATTCTCTCTTTGACTAAACTTTAGACAGGCTCCTCTGAGCCTTCTTCTCAACCTGGCCTCAATCCTTGGGCCCTGTTCTTGGTATGCTGAGTCTAGTTTTAGCAAGAACCCTGCTATGTCAGTTTAGGGAGAGTCACCCCACTGTTGATATCTGATCAAGCCCCCCATCCCCCAACCTTGATGTCTAAGTCTTTGGCCTGACTTTAGTAAGGATTCTATAAGGCAAGTTTAGCAAGAATCTACCTTCCCTTGATATTTCTTTCTAGAAATTTTTCATTCACTTACTCCCTCACTCTGCTGGTTGACCATAAATCCCCATTTTTCTTTGTTGTATTCAGAATCGAGCTCAGTCTGTCTCCCCTAATGCAACTGTCGGTGCCCTACTGCAACTGTCTTAAGTAAAACTTGTATTGCTATCTTTAACAAGTGCCTGGTGAATAATATCTCTTTGAAAAGTGTAAAACTTAGGTCTCTTCTACATCAGATACTCTGGCTGTATGAATTTAAGGGTCTGCGGAAGGAATTAAGTAGCAAGTAGGAGTAAGTTACTGGGGAATCAGTTCAGATAGCGATAGATGGCTTTCTAAAAAGAAACTTGAAAAATCATGAATTTTAAATTTCTAGCCATTCCCAGTAGTCAGAACTCAGGAATACACTTTCCCCCTTGTAGTTCCTCCTTAGAAATTTGAAAAGGCCTATTTATCTTGAAATAACAAACACATTCAGATATCTGTGGTTCTTTTTACGCCTATTAGGGTAACATCTTTCACTATGAATCCGCAATTTTCCATTGGACAACTTCTGGCAATTAACTGTTCTTTGGTGTGTACTGTTTTTATATGTATGGTTAAAATAAGATTAAGAGGCTTCCATTCTGTGCTGGTTGTAAGGAAATTTTTTTTACTCCATACCTATTAGTCCATTTTCATAGCAGTAGAATTTATAACTTTGTGACAACCCAAAATGTGAAGATGAGATGATCTGAAAAATTACAAGAGTTGTGGCAAGTCAAGAACTGCGAATTTGCAGGATCTGATAACACGAATTTGCAGGATCTTAAAAAAGAATGCCTTTTCAAGGATGTGGAGAAAGGGGAATCCTCCTGCACCATTGGTGGGAATGCAAATTGGTGCATCCACTCTGGAAAACAGTATGGAGGTTCCTCAAAAAGTTAAAAATAGAACTACCCTATGATCCAGCAATTGAACTACTAAGTATTTACCTAAAAAATATAAAAATACTAACTCAAAGGATCCATGCACCCTGATGTTTATAGCAGTATTATCTATAACAGCTAGATTATGGAAACAGCCCAAATGTCTATCAACTGATGAGTGGATAAAGATGTGGTGCATATGTGTGTGTGTGTGTGTGTGTGTGTGTGTGTGTGTGTGTGTAATGGAATATTACTCAGCAGTCAAAAAGAATGAAATCTTGCCATTTGCAATGATGTGGACAGAGCTAGAGAGTATAATGCTAAGAAAAATAAGTCAGTCAAAGAAAGACAAATACCATATGATTTCACTCTTACGTGAAATTTAAGAAACAAAACAGACAAGCAAAGAGAAAAAAAAAAAGAGAGAGAGGTAAACCAAGAAACAGACTCTTAACTATAGAAAATAATTAGATGGTTACCAGAGGGGAGGTGGGGTGGATGGGTGAAATAGGTCATGGGGATTAAGGAATGTACTTGATGTGATGAGCACTGTGTGCTGTTTGTAAGTGTTGAATCACTAAATTGTATCTGAAGCTGATATTACACTGTATGTTAACTAATGGGAATTTAAATTAAAACTTAAAAAAAAGAATACCTTTGTGAAGGATGGCTCAATTTCATTTACGTTAACAGATATAAAACAAAAATAAGAAATACACTCTACTCTGAAGGTAAAAGTAAAATATCATACAATACACTTTTGGGTACTATAAATTTTTGGCTAAAAATGACAAAAACATCTGAATTTTAAAATGTTAAATTAATGTTCCTAACTAGGTAATTTTGGGTTACTCCAATAGACAGAAACATTGGAGTCTACAAGTTCCTTTCAAGTTTCAGAGATAGACCAACATGTAAGAACTGAATTGGCACATATGCTCTTAAAATACATCCAAACACTTGAAAGCATTAGGTACAGATATATATGTGTATTATATGTGTATATATATATATGTGTGTGTGTGTGTGTGTGTGTGTGTACACATATATATCTGTACCTATATATAGAGAGGGAGAAAGAGAGAATTATATATACACACATATACATATATATACATACACGTATATATGTATAACTATATATACACACATACATATAAATATATATAAAAATATAAAAAAGTTTCAAAGTTCATGCAGTTACTACTTTGGAGTTAAAGAGCTAACCTGTAGGACCTGGATAGGGATCAAAGTTCACCAAGGCCCAATGTCATCATTAACAAAAAGGAAAAATATCAAAATTGTTAGCAATATCAAGAAACTAAAGCATCACACTAACTTCTTTCAAGTTAAACTTTAATTCAATAAAAGAATACTATGAAAGTTCATATTCATGCATCTGTATACAAACCAAATTATTACCAGTTAGCATCAGCACTAAAATAAAAACAGCACATGTGACATATTTTGAAAGGCAAAAAAATCATTTTTATAATAACCATTACCAATGAGTTCAGACAAAAACAACCAATTCTATGATCAATTAGGTTTAAAACTCCATTTTAATTTGTAGTTTATGAACAAAGGAGAAGTCACAAACTACTCATCAGGTAGGTGTTCTTCTTCCTACTATTTTTGTTATTATTTCTTTGGAAACAGTAATTTTTTTAAGCACCTTTGTGACTAATGTCTTTATGTTGACAGTAATGTCCAACAGTGACCTTCATTACTAGTAAAGAACAAATAACCAGAGTGCTGATTAAAATGTAAAAAAATGATAATAGTTTGGTATATTTTATAATTATTGCATGCATACCAAGCAAGATATTTGTGTCAACTCTTTACATGTAAGAGTTAATATGGCTGAGGAGAATTTCACTGGTTTTCTTAAATAGTGAAAACAAGGTAAAACTCTAAACACCTTGTATAAACAATCAAGTCAGATCAGATCAAATCTGGTTTTGAAAATGACCTTCTGAACAAAGTATGTGATCCCATTTGATTCATGTTTTCAGAGCATATCTTATTAAAATTAACTCCAATCACTTCAGAGTTTATCATAATTTAAATGGAAATTTTCATTTTTAAGTACATTAAAAAATGAGCCAGACTTTCAAAGGATAAAAGGACAACTGTTTTGTTTCTTTAACCTTAGATTTCTCTTATTATTTTAAATCACGAAGGCCAAATTTTTAATTACCTGAAATATAAAAATTGAGTATCAAGTCCCAAAAATCTGTTAATAATCTATCACCAGTGATTGGGCTCAGCGACATTAATCCCAGATGAGTACAAGAATTCCAAACTTAGCAAAATGAAGTGACACAGCACATACACAAAATGAAAAGTGAACTTTGGATGCAAAATTGAGGCTACTAGAGCAGTTAACATAAGACAAAGGAGGTATAGACATGAAGTTGGTATGAAGAGATGACTATTCAATTTAATCATGCTGTGATGTTGAGGATAAATTTGATTGCCTAGTTCCTAGAGAAGATAAAATTTTTTTATTGTGCTTGGTGACATTGGCTGATCATATGACAGAACCATAGCAACACTTTTGGTATGAACCACAAGCATCTATGGGGTGACCACTAAAATGATTTCTGTGATGACATGCTGAGAAGCTCACATTAAAAATGCAGAGGGCATTTTGCTGCCAGGTTATCAGTATAGCTTTATGTTTAATAAAAAGACTAATAAATCCACAATTTTCTTTTTTCTTCCATGTTGATTTGTTTTAGTTCAACTTTATGTAAATGATGAAAGGCATTAATGAAAAGAATGATTAGATGCCAGAGAAACAGATGGAGCTAGGTATAAACCAAGCTATTTACTTGTAAGATGTTCTTATAGAGTCTAAAGTCCCAAAGACTGAATAACCTGCCAGCAAAATGAAATAAATTAACTAATAAATGGACCATTCCCCCACCACTCATGTACATACCTGGTCTCCCAGGAGGACCTTGGGGCCCAGGGTCGCCTTTAGGGCCTTCCAGAGCTGGACCTGGAGAACCAGGAGGGCCTGGAGGACCCTGCACACCAGGAAAACCCTGAAAGCCTGGTTCTCCCTTTGGACCAGGAAGTCCAGGGTTTCCTGGAATGCCAGGTAATCCTCCATCACCCTTTTGACCTATGAAAGCAAAGTGACATTAGGGAACACATTAAATGATATTGAGTATTAGGCTTGCCTGTAAGGCTAAATCTATTCATTCTTATTAGAACAAGTAATAGAATGTGCAAGGGTCATTTCTATCTCCTGCCAAATCCCTAACCCATTAAAAACATTCTTTTTATTAATCATATTAATCTGTTATAAGAAATATTTATTAGAGTATGTATAGAAATATAAAAACAATTACAGCTTGGATCCTGAAAGATACCCTTTGTATTAGGGCACAAAGCAATGATCACATAATCAGTAGCTGTGAGAAAATAAAAAAAATAAAAAACTAGAGAAGTTTAAAGTATTGGCATGAATAGGTTAGAGATGGCTGGAGGAAATTCCTTAAACAAATATTTTGAGACTAATTTTGAGACGAATGAAGACGTGGATCTTCAGCGGCTGCTGTGTGTCTCTGAAGACCATTCTATCCAAAATTTAGAATCCCAATCTAGACAAACTGTTCTCAACATTTTTTATACACCACCAACATGCCTGAAAGTGATATAACAGTGGCACATTAAAGTAATAATTTTCACATTGGGATCATGGGAAGGATATAGGAATTTCTATGAGGTATGTCTGTGGTTTGAAAAAAGCCCCCATAGAATAGCCAATGGTCCTTTCAGAAAATAAACAGGCATACCTGTACACACATTCAGTCATTCATTTAATTCTCTGGTGCTTACAATGAAAGTAAGAACAAGTGCAAGAAAGTAGATGTATATGTGCACATACTCACTCAAAATGCAAGATGTATATTAATATGGAGTTTTCAATTTTTATTATTGGTACATATTCCTACAAAGTTTCCTTATCTTACCTTGGTTTTATTTCCATGGGGATAAAAGAGTGGTAGTTTTTTTTTTTCCAACTGAAAGACCTTTTTTTAAATTTTATTTATTTATTTATTTTGCAAGAGAGACAGAGAGAGAGAGACAGAGAGAGAGAGAGAGAGAGAGGGAAAGGGAGAGAGAATCCCAAGCAGGCTTCTCGCTGTCAGGCTGTCTGCACAGAACCCAACATGGGGCTTGATCTGAACCATGAGATCATGACCTGAACCAAAGTCAAAAGTTGGATGTTTAACCAACTGAGCCACCCAGGTGTTCCCTGGCTGAAAGATTTTTAAAACATTTAGTGAAATCTACTTCTTCGTGCAAATGTGCTTTATATCATTTCCTCAGCAGTTATTGATGAAAGTAATGAAGAGATGTCTATATGTTAATTTCTTTAAGAATGCATTTTTATATAGCACAATTCTTTATACTAAATTCTTAATTAATAACTACTTTAAGATAGAACTTGAGCTTTGAGTTTTCTGGGATTGTATGTGCATTTTATAACAGCAAATGGTGAAGATTGAAAATTAAGTGTGCTGGAACATATTTTCTTTATACGGACTGATTTAGCATGTTTTATTAAAGTTTACCAGAAAGTCCTGGAAGTCCAGGGGGTCCTGGGATTCCAAAGCCTGGTTGACCTGTCAGAGAATAAACCAAAAAATCTCAAATAAATAATAATAAATGAAACAAGGACAATTTTTTTAGGACCATTCAGGTTTTTACTAAGTGCTACTACATATATGAACCATGCAGAAGATTTATCTCCAACATGCAATCACAATTCTAACATGAGAAAACTGTATAAAATATATTCTACTTGTGATAAGTGTTAAATACATCTTCACATATTATACATATAATATATATAAATGGATAATATATATAAATGGAAAATAGATTGCATAGTGAAACGAGGTAATCCAGAGAAGTTGAAAAAAGCTGGGTAACTTCTTCACATGAAAAACTTGGAAAGAAAGTATATGGAGTTTTTCATAAGAAGGAGGCAACCTGATGGATAAATGTGAAGTAATATTCTCAGTACAGAGTGCAAGAAGGTAATTAGGAAGAGAAAAGTGTGTAGTAGCTTAGAGGTTAAGAAAGAAGATATAAGTTGATTGTGGAGAAAAAAGGGCAAAAGTTAAAGAAGACAAAGAAGAAATTAGAAAATTAGGAACAATGAATAAATATGGCACCTGGTTCACCCTTCTGTCCAGCTGGGCCAGGGATACCATCTTGACCCGGACTGCCTTTTTCACCTGGAGGCCCTGGTGGCCCAGGACGACCGCCACCACCTAAAACAGAGTACAGCAGGTTTCACCTATCTTCCCAATTCCATTTCCTTCCATATTCCCCATTCTTTCCATTCCAGCTTCAAATAGTTCTATCCAAATGACCACAAAGTACCTCTGAGACACCCCTTTAAACCACAAAATCTTGTGAAAAAGAGGCATTAAAGAATAAAAGCTAATGAGAATAAGAGCCTTATTCATTCAGTACCCAAAATTTTCAGTTTCTCATTTTAATCTAGCTGTAGAATATCAAGGAGAGCAAGGTGTGGGAGTGAAACAGGGTGCATTATAGGCCTCAGATGGGGCCATGAGGAGTAATTTGCTTTAGAATGCAGCAAACAAACAACAGTGCTACACCTCGCCATTCTAAAAAATACAAGAGCTTCTACTATTGTAGGATACTTGAAATAACTCTCCCTGGAAAGAGCCCCTCAAATAAGGTTCCAAAGTAATAATTTTAAGTAACTTTTATTAAGAGTTGTTCAGTTTGTGCCTAACAAATGGTACTAAATAAATGAATTATCACCATGTTTCCTTGTCTTAAAAATGTTCACAACTCCCAGAAATGATCTGCCTTTCTCAAAATGAATATGAGCCTTAGTTTTACAGAACAACAAATCCTTAGGTTTCATGCTTACCTACAGGACCAGGTTCTCCTGGAAGGCCAGGGTTCCCAGGAGGACCACTAATACCTTTTGGTCCAGGAAGTCCTGGGGTTCCTAAAGTAGAGTTCAATTTAATAATAAAAGAAAATCTGCATTGTGTTAAGAATTACAACTCAAACTCACAATTTATAGTATTAGCAAAAAAAACAGTGAATAGGAAAAAAAGAAAGATGCTGATGTTTGTAATATTTTTAAGAATAATTATAAGTTTTAAACTTATTTATCCAAGCATGGCATTATTATATATTCATAATAAAAATAATTACCACAACATTACAGTAGTAGAATTGATAGGATTCTATTGTATGAATATACCAATTTTTTAATCCATTCATCTACTGTCAGACATTTGGGTATTTGTCAGACATTTGTCAGGTTTTATGTATTACGAATATCTATCTTTATGGAAACCTGGTCTACTTCCAGTTTTTAGCTATTATGAAGTAACACTGCTATGAATATTTCTGGACCAGTATTTTTGTGGACATGTCTTAACATATCTTGGGTAAATACCTAGATAGGAATGGAACTGCTGAGTCAGAGTAGGTATATGGTGTGTCTTATAAAAAAACAAAAAACAAACAAACAAAAAAAACAACCTGCCAAACCATTTGAGGCTCACAGCAATGTTTGGGAATTCTAGTTGCTCCAGATCCTTGTACAACATATGGTGATATCAGTTGCTTTAATAATAACCATGCTGATAGGAATAAACTGCTACTTCATTGTGGTTTTAGTTTGCATTTCTCTAATAGCTGATAATACTAATCACCTTTTCATGTGTTTATTGGCCATCCACATATGTTCTTTTGTGAAACATCTTTTCAAAGTTTTCCCCATTTAAAAAAAGTGGACTGTTTATCTTGCTATTATTGAATTGTAGAGGTTCTTTATATATCCCAGATATCAGTCATTTGTCAGATACATGTTTTGCAAGTATTTTCTCCTAGTCTGTGGCTTCCCTATGCATTTCCTTAATGATGTCTTTTGATGAGCAGAACAGAAGATCTCAGGTTCTTTAAAAGAAAAAAAAACGTGTGGAGCAGTTGAATATCTGTATGGAAAAAAATGAACCTTGACCCCTACTTCATACCATAAAAATATTTTTATTTGAGACAAACCAAACCTAAATATAAAAGCTTAAACATTAAATGTTACAAAAAAAATAAAAGGATATTTCCATAAACCCGAATAGGAAAATATTTGTTGAATAATTCAGTATACAAAAAGCACTAACTATGAAAGAAAATTAATAAACTGGACTTTATTAAAATTAACAAGTTTTGTTCATCACACAACAGCATTGAGAATGAAAGGCAAATTTGAGACAGAAAGAACATACTTGTAATACATGTATCTGACAAAGACTCAGATCCAGAATATATAAAGAAGGGCTCTGAATCAATTAGAAGAAAAGGGCAAACAACCCAATAAATGTGAGCAAAAAACATGGAGCAAGCATTTCAAAAAGATGCTACCCAAATGGTCAATAAGTATATGGAAAGATGTTTAACATTGTCATTCATTTAAAAACTGTAAATGAAAACTTCAATGAGACGCTTCTTTTTGTATGTTAGCTAACTTGACGATAAATTATATTAAAATAAATAAGTACATTTGAACATCTAATGTTGAAAAAAAGACTCCCTATGTACTCACCAGAATAGCTAAAATTAAAAGACTGACAATACCAAATGAGGTGAGGACATGGACAACTGGATATTTCACAACACAAAGTACTAACCACAATATAAGCATGACAAGCCACTAGAAGCCACCCAGGAACATTTCAAATATTGCAGGTTGGACTATAATTTATAAAACCACTTTGGACAACTGGCTAAAAGCTAAAACTTCCTTCCTAGTAGCAGGAAAACTATTAAAGCTAAATGTCTACCTACTCTATGATTCAGTAATTCTACTACTAAGTTACTAAGAGAAATGAGTATATATGTCCATGAAAAGACACGTCAAAGAATGTTAATAGCATCTTTTTTTAATAGTCCCAAACTGGAAACAGCCTGAAAGTCCTTCAACAGGAGAATGGGTAATTGATTATTATGTATTTATTCAATGGAAGGTTACAGAGCAATTATAAAAAAACAAACTACTGACACATGCAACAAGATAAATGAATCTTACAGACATAAGTGGAAGAAGCCAGACACAAAGATATATACTGTATGATTCCATTTATATGAATTCCCAAAACAGGCCAGATTAATTGATGGTGATAGAAATCATAGCAGTGGTTACCTTGGCAGGGGTGGTTTCACTGTGAAGAGGCATGGGTAAACTTTATGGGGTGCGGGAACTATTTTATATCTTGATATGTATGGTGGGTGTATACACACACACACACACACACACACACACACACACACACACACACCCCGGTGAAAACTCATCTATAGTCTTGCATATAGTCTTGTATATTTTACTCTACGTTATACTTCAATAGAAGGTTAAGGAAAAGATAACCAAAGGCCCACTCCATCCATGCCACTGTGAAATCCAAAAGACAAACAAAGGAACAAATTAAATACAAGCATAAACAGAGAAGATAGTATAACAATCTAGTTTAGGCTACCTACTTGACTATAGTGCTAAGTCCCTTTGCTTTCATGACTCAGTCGTTGTCATATAAATGAACTGAACAACTGTTCTACCACTGTGTTCCACCCAAGTGTGTGGAACAAGTGTTCTACCACTGTGTGCCACCCAACTGTGTGCCTGAGTACAACTTTCTAAGAGAATCAGCAGCAGGCTAAGGTTTGATAGTGTACATTATCACCTACAAAAAGTCAGGCTTCTTAATTGACTTGTGGCTAACAGTCAAAGGTTGAAAAATGCTCTACCAAACAGTCTCTCTGTTCACAGGATACTGTCCTACTGAGTTGGTAATACTCATTCTCATTTTATACAGAAATAAATTTGGGCAAAGAGAAGATAAAGAGCTAGTTCAAGATTATGTTGCTAGTCAGTGTCTGATTGGGAAATAGAAATCTGTCAAATAAGAAGTTTCTCTGCAACACAGGTTATACTAGATAAGGAAGGATATAAGGAAGCATTCAAGAAAAGGTATATTACCAGGGAATCCAGGAAGGCCTGGATGTCCTTTTGCTCCAGGGGTCCCTGGTAATCCAGGCAAACCAGTATCTCCCATAGAACCTTTGATTCCCGGGTTTCCTGGATATCCGGGCAGACCAGGTTCACCCTAAAGCCATGAATAAGAAGATAAAACTGAGTCTCTACATGACTTAGATTGTATAACAACATAACATTATTTATAGAGCTTTTATTATATGTCAGTCACTCTGCTAAGTGCTTTATAGAAAGTGCTTTCTTTAATCACTTGTAGAAATTTAACTTGAAAATTCTTTGTTTAATCATCACAACAGATCTTTGAGTTAGGCTTTATCATCTCCATTTATAAATGAGAAAACTGAATCTTGGAGAACTCAAGTGCCTAATGTCTCTAGCAAGTGGCAGAATTAGAATTTGAGTCAAGGTCTGTTAGACTCCAGAGATCATGCTATTTCCACAATATGTAGATGTATTTTCTCATTAATCCCTAACAATCCTATAAGAAATACACTATTATTATCCCATTTTACAGAGTTGCAACTAATAAGTTGTGGAATCTGCATTTGGATCCAGATAGTCTCATTTGAACCTTTGATCATTATCCCTACTATGCTAAAATGGAATTCACTGCTTACAATAAGCATGTCAAACAGTGGTTACAAGTAGGTTCTACTGCAAAAAGTAAACTTAGTCCACACATACATACGTCTATCAAATCTTCAGTGAACATCTGAAATCTCATATATTCCATGAAGCTTTCCAGAACAAAGAAAGCTCATGCTAAGAATGTATGGCAGGTTCTTATTCTGTCAAATCAATAATGGCTTCACATATGCATGTCTTGACTCTTCAACACTGAACATTTCTCTGTGGTTAAAGACAACTCATATGTAACCATTTTTGGTTAGTGAACTTTTGCACTATGTTTCCTTCTAATAGAGTCTAAGAATTCATATCCACTTTCACAATTAAAACAACTTTTTCCCAATAACAATGAGAACATGCTATAACTAAGTCTACCAGTGTCCACTGCTCTGCTCATGAATATCATGACCTCTCCAACAAAGTGTCAGTGTTCAACATCATCTACTGAATACCTCCTTCTCCATTTAGTGCTTATGCTTGTCTAGGTGACTAAGATCATCTATTTGTGACTCAAATGATTCTGCATTATGGTAAAAGCTTTTTCAACTAATTCCTTTTCTCCTTACAACCCCACTAGGCTGGAAATATATGTATTTTGGTCTGAACTTCTATAAATCAAACATCTGGCACATTTTTGCACACATAATACTATACAATTAAATTTTGGATTGAACTGGTTCCATCTTAGGTATTTACACAGAAAAACTTTGAATAAACTACCATAATTCTTCTTACTATTCATGAACCAATGACATTTATATATCAAAATAAAAAGCAGGAAGAATATTCCAATTATTTGCCAATGGCAAACCTGAAAGGCAGTACATGAGCACTTGATGATTTATGATAAAGTATGTGAAATTCTACAATCTATAATTTCAACCAGCACTTGGTTCCCCCCTACAATTCTTTTCACCACTCTATGACCCTACTTTAAATTCTAAAAGGAAAGTAAATGTTTTACCAGGGCTTTTGAAAAGGACTAAAAGTTGCTAGTTTAAGTTTTATCTAAATTTTTATTATTCACAAACTTGCAGAGAAAACAATGAGCTTCAAAACTGTTTTTGTATTCAAAAACATACTGGACAAAAATCCTGTAAATCACTCTGAGAAGAGAAGATTTTATTACAAAACAGAAGCAAGACATGACTTGAATAGACTTAAACCACAATTATCTACATTTCTTCAAATGTCATTCCTTGATATAGTTCTTTTCCATTTAGACAAAATTGACATATAACCTTATATTAGTTTCAGGTGTACAACACAATTTGATATTTGTATATATTGTGTAATGATCACCATAATAAGTCCAGTTAACATCAATCACCATAGTTACAAATTTTTTTGTTCTTGGGATAAAAACCTTTAAAGTTTGCTCTCTTAGCAACTTTCAATATACGGCACACTATTAACTATAGTCACTGTGTTGTACGTTATAAGTTTGTACTTTTTAACCTCCTTCATGCATTTTACCCACTCTCCAATGCCCCATCCCCATCTCTGGCAACCACAACTTTGTTCTCTGTATTTATTAGCTCATTTTGAAAAAAAAATTGTCTATTTTTAGATTCCACGTACAAGTTAAATCATAGGGTATTTGTCTTTCTCTAACTTATTTCACTTAGCATAGTGGCCTCAAGGTCCATCCATGTTGTCACAAATGGCAAGACTTCATTCTTTTATATGGTTCAATAATATCCCATTGTATATATATATCCCATATTTTCTTTAGTCATTTAATCTCATATTTTCTTTATCCATTCATATACCAATGGACACTTGATTTGCTTCCACATCTTGGCTATTGTAAGTAATGCTGTCACGAACAGAGGGATGCATATATCTTTTCAAATTAGTGTTTTCATTTTCTTAGATAAATACCCATGGTACTTCTATTTATATTTTTTTGAGGAACCTCCATACTGTTTTTCATAGTGGCTGCACCAATTTACATTCTCACCAACAGTGCACAAGGATTCCCTTTTCTCCCCATCTTGCCAACACTTGCTGAAATGTGTCTTTTTGATAGTAGCCATTTTACCAGGTGTGAAGTGATATCTCATTTGTTTTATTTATTTATTTATTTATTTATTTATTTATTTATTTATTTATTTATTTATTTAGAGGTAGGGGGAAGAGCAGAGAGGAGAGAGAGAATCCCAAACAGGCTCTTGTCAGCACCAGCCTGACCCAGTCCAGTGCTGGATCTTAAGAACCTAATCGTGAGATCATGACCTCAGTTGAAATCAAGAGCTGGATGCTTAACAGACTAAGCCACCCAGGTGCCCTCATGGTGGTTTTGATTTGCATTTCCCTGATTATTAGTGATTTAAGTACCTTTTCATGTACCGGTTGGTCATTAGTATGCCTTCTTTGGAAAAATGTCTATTCAGTTGCTCTGGTAATTTTTAGTTGTATTCTTTGTTTCATTTTTAGTATCAATTGTATGAGTTCTTTGCACAGTTTGGATATTAACTCCTTATCGATATATGACTTGCAAATATTTTCTACCATTCATTAGGTTGCCTTTTCACTTGATGATTTCCTTTGCTGTGCAGATCAGTTTGATGTAGTCCCACCTGTTTATTATGCTTTTGTTGCCTTTGCTTTTCAAAACACAAGAAAAACATCACCAAGATGAAGGTCAAGGAACTTGCCTGTTTTCTTCTAGTTTTATGGTTTCAAGTTTTACATTTAAATCTTTAACCCATTTTCAGTTAATTTTTGTATATGGTATAAGGTAGTAGTCTAGTTTCATTCTTTTGCCTGTGGCTGTAGGTTTTCCCAACACCATTTATTAAAATGACTATTTTCCACATTGTATAATCTTGCTTCATCATAAATTAATTGACTATATTTGTGTGGGTTTATTTCTGGGTTCTCTATTCTATTCCACTGACCTATGTTTGTTTTTATGCCAATACCATATTGTTTGGATTACTACAGGTTTGTAATATAGTTTGAAATCAGAGAGTGTGATACTTCCAGCTTTGTTCTTTGTCAAGATTGCTTTGGCTATTCAAAATCTTTTGTGGTTCTATACAAATTTTAAGATTGTTTATTTCTTTGAAAATGCCATTGGGATTTTGAAAAGGATTGCAATGAATCTATATATTGCTTTGGGTAATATGAAAATTTTAACAATATTAATTATTCCAATCCATGAGCATAGAATATCTTCATATTTGTGTCTTCAATCTTTCGTCAATGTCATCATTTTCACAGTGTAGGTTTTTCATCTCCTTGGTTAAATTTACTCCTAAGTATTTTATTCTTTTTAATGCAATTCTAAAGGAACTGTTTCCTTAATTTCTCTTTCTGATAGTTTCTTGTTAGTATATAGAAATACAACAGATTTTTGAATGCTGATTATGTACTCAGTGACTTTCCTGAATTTTTTAAATAGCTCTAACATTTTTTGTTGGAGACTTTAGGGTCTTTTATAAATATAAGTACAATGTATAAATATACATACATATGTATACATATATTTGTCTGCAAATAGTGACAGCTTTTACTCCTTCTTTTCCAATGTGGATATCTTTCATTGCTTTTTCTTGCTTTCTTGCTCTAGCTAGGATTTCCAATGCTATCTTAAATAAAAGTGGCAAAAATGAGCATCCTTGTTTTGTTTCTAATCTTAGAGGAGAAACTTTCAACTTTTCACCATTGAGTATGATGGTAGCTGTGGGCTTCTAATATACGACCCATATTATGTTGAGGTAAATTCCTCTGTACCCACTTTGTTGAGTTTTTATCATAAATGGATGTTAAATTTTGTCAAATATCTTTCCTACATCTATTGAGATGATCATATGATTTTCATCCTTTATTTTGTTAATGTGATGTATCATATTGATCGATTTGTAGATGTAAACCATTCATGCATCTCTGGAATAAGTTTCACTTGAGCATGGTATATGGTCCTTTTAATTGCTGTTGTATTGTTTCATTTACTTTGTTAATATTTTGTTGAAGACTTTTACATCTGTTTATTAGGTATACAGGCCTGTAATTTTTTTGCTTTTTTTTTTTTGTGGTGTCCTTATCTGGTTTAGGTATCAGTGTAATGCTCATAAAATGACTTCAAAAGTGTTCTCTCTTCTTTAATTTTTTGGAAAATTTTGAGAAGGATATGTATTAAATCTTCTTTAAGTGTTTGGTAGAATTCATCCGTGAAGATGTCTAGCTCTGGACTTTACTGGGAGGTTTTCTTTTTTTCCTTCTTTTTTGATTACTGATTCAATCTCTTTACTAGTAATTGGTTTATTCAGATTTTCTAATATTTCTTGATTCAGTCTGGGAAGGCTGTATATTTCTAGGAATTTATTCATTGCTTCTAGGCTCTCCAATTTGTTGACATATAATTGTTCATAATAGTATTTTATGATCTTTTGTATTTCTGTGGTATCAGTTGTAAATCCTTCTTTCATTTCTGATTTTATTTATTTAATTTACTTATTTGAGCCCTCTCTTGGCGAG